GTTAAAGGGAATGAATAGCAGTAGTGCCCCAGTTCTGGGAAATCTTTGTCTATTCCAAGAAAACACATGGCTGATCCTCCTTCCTATTAGCCCATCTCTCATTACTCTTAGCCCGTGTCTATAACCCATCAAGCCCTAATAATTTGCGAAGTTGATTTCTGAGCAAGGTTTCTGCTTCTCAGTTCTTTGGACACATAGGTGTTTTCTTGTTTTTGTTTGGTTTGGTTTGGTTTTTTTGTTTGTTTGTTTTGTTTTGTTTGTTTGTTTTTTGCTTTACAAGACTAAACAGAGACAGATCCCACTGTGGGAGCCTCCCCTACTGAGGTTACACAGTAACCTCTAACTAGGCTTTTTGCTTTGGCTCTTGACCCCTCTCCCTTGGAGTTTTTGGGTTTTTGTTTTTCTCTATCCAGAAGCAAGATGATTGTTTTACAAGATATTCTGTCTATGTATCTTCTAATTAGAACACTCCAGCGGCTTTTAATCCTTTTCATATAAAAGCAAGTATCCTTATCACACAGTCTTCAAGTAGGGTGAAAGTCATGCCAGTTTGCCTGAGTTTGAGGGGGTTACTCAGGATATAGAACTTTCAGTGATAAAATCTGGAAAGTACTAACCAAACCAGGATGTGGTCAACCCACCTAACAGGACTTACTGTAAGATCCTTGGGCCAAAGTAACTCCATTTTGAAAATCAGCACCTGCCCACCCAGCATGACCTTCCTTTTAGGCAGAAAGAGTCCCTAATTTTACTGAAACTGGTGAAGGTGATCCCCTCTCACTGACTTGACAAGGTCACAGTGAAAATAAGTGCTGGCAAAGCCTCTCTCTCACTGTCTTGACAGGGTCACAGTGAGGATGAATGCTGGCAAAGCTGTGTTGGTTGGTGGGAAACTGAAACCATGAGACCCTTTTTATATAATTGGGACTTTTCATTCTCACGCTTGCCACAGTCTGGCTGGGCACACAATCACGAGCCACCACACAGCTTGTAGATTCAAACAGCAACTCTTTATTCCTGAACTCACACCAGCCGTCTACAATCACGTTCTGGGGAAATCCACGTTCTCTGCCCAAATCCACATCCACTGGGCTTCTCTCTCCCAAAAAATACTGTCTGAATCCCGTGAGAACTCAAGGGGAACTCAGGCAGCAGGATACGCCCTATTCCCAGCAGGAATAACCTTAAACCTTAAACCTGGAACCTAAACCGGGAACGCCCTAAACCCGGATTATAAACCGGGAACACCCTAAACCCTGATCCGCCCTGGTCCTTGAGCAAGGTCACCTACATGCAATGTCACTGCAAAATGTCCTATTTCCACGAGTCCTTCCACTAAGCAACATGGGGTACGCTGGCAAGGAAATTGTCATACCTACTTGGCTAATGGCTCCCAGCACATGCTCATGTTCCTGACAGGAGGCATGAGTATGTTAAATGCCAAACCAAATTGAATTTCAGATGGCCAGACATAACAGGTAGTTCATGCCTTGAAGGCTCTTCTACTACCCCTCAACTTATCAAGGACAACTAGAAAGCTGCTCTACTATCTCAGCACATTGAGGACAAAACTGATAATGGACAACAATCATTCTCTGAAAGGTCAGGAGAATTTTAGGCACCACATTGTTTATATCAACTAGAACCCAAGCTCATATTTTTGGCCTTTTAGAAAACCTAATCATTATGCTTATTGTACAAAACCCACCATATGTAGTTTCATTCTTGTTTAAGGAAAGTTATGTTATACACTTACGAAAGTTAAGACATATAAGGATACATTCTTTTCATTTGTATAAACCCTCTTTTACTACACATAGGGATTTATGATGAGCATACTTAATATTGGCAGAAAGTGGACTGATGTTTAGAACTTACTTTTTATTGAGAAAGATTATAAAGACATAAGAACTAGTGCACCTTGACTGAGAAACAAAGAAACTCTTTGAGAAAGCAGCTCAACCAGTTTTATGAGAATAAATTTAGGAATTAATTAAAGTAGCTTTATAAGACATATTTTTAGAATAATGTTAGAAGTATTATTCGATTTAGATTCTTGGGTTTAGAATTCTTAAGTTTTTAGCTGTATGGGTTTCTGATATGTTTTAAGAATGGCTTATGAACTTTAGGATATTTTAAGTATAAGATTTAAGGGGACTTTTTTAGATGGGAATTTTAGATTAGAAATAAAAGTGCAGGTATACTTTAAACTTAAAGGTTAATGATAGGTTAGGAGACTTAGAGTCTGGTTACGTAGTTTTGCATTAGTTAATAAGAAAATTGTACATCTTGGGAAAATCTGAAAAAATGTAAACTAGTGACACATTTTATTAATGATTGATAACTAAAAAGTCACATCCTGTAAAAATGTAAACTGATGTTACATTTTTCTATACCCCTAATTATGGTTAAGGAAACGTTATGTCTTGGCAAAGTTTTGAAATTGTGTAATCAATGACGTATTCTGAATCTATAATGATGAGAAAAATTGTAATAAAAGATGACCCAGAGAAAGCTGCATTAGAGCTCTCTCTCTGGAGATTGCTCCAAGGAAACGACTCCTGTCTCATCTTTTCGCGGAGGCCACTCATCCTTCAGGACTCCCTGGACCCCGCTAGGGCAGGACCCCGGCATGAAACCTCAACAATGACATCAAGTAACAATCATATAGGACCAGATGGGTTATTTTTTAACTACTCCATTGTATATGACTATATAATTAACTACTTTTTTCAGCAGGCTGCTGTGCCTTGCAGAAGGGCAGCTTGACAGATATTCTTTGCTGGTAAACATTTGCTTGTGTCTCTGGCGAATATTTGTACCAGCTACCCTAACACCAACCAAATCTGAATCCTGGCTATCCACTGACCTCATTCTGCATCACATTTTTTTTTTTTTTTTCCAGTTGATCTCATTGTATTTGAAATGGACAAGAGGTTCCCAGAGTCAGAGTCTTTACACTTTCATTTTTTTTTTCCCCTCCCTGGAGCTGTTTTATCTTAATATCTGCAAGTCTTGAGTCCTCATTTCATTCAGGCCTCTGCTCAAATTACCCTCCTTATAAAAGAAATCTCCCTTGACCACTCACTCTTTGTAAAAAAAAAAAAAAAAAAAACACATAAAATAAATATATAGATATATATATTCCTGCTCATTTGTAAACTAGCATGTGTATGTGTGAGATTGTGTGCATGCTATTTTCTCTGTAATAATACATATAATCTTTTTTCTTTATTGTCTGTCTTCCCCCAACTAGACTATAATGTCTTCAGAGTGAAACATTGTTTTGTTCCTGAAGTATCCCTAGCACCTAGAACAGGGCTAAGGTCTGGCATGTAGTTTCTGAGGGTTTTTAAGTGAACGTATTCATGAATCTTCCACAGGAGTCCCCAGGCCTCCACCAGACCCACCAGTGTGATTCTCCAGTCAGCATGGCAGTTTGTCTGGATTTGAGGGATGAGGCGGGGACTGTAAATTCAGCAAGAATTGCATGAAAGGACTGAGGAAGGCTCAGAGGTTTCTACTCACAGCAGAGGTGGTTATGACTACATGAGTATGTCCCTATTAGCAAGTCGAGCAAACAAAAAAGGCCAGACAGACCAGAAGAGAAGCTACCACTTCTTCCATATAGGCCACCTGTTAACTACATGTCTTTTTCCACTGGCTAGTCATTAGGAGAGTAAAATTTAATTTGCTCACTGATGATCTTAATTGTCACAGGCACATTGCATGAGGACATTGAGTGTCTCTTAAAGGACACCAGCAAAAAAGGACATAAAATGACCACCTTCCCAACCAGGCTGGTATTTTCTCCTGACTCAATTCCTGAAACCCTTCGGGATGTAGCTATGAATTCTCTCCATTGTCTGTGTTTAGTTAAGCCAAGCTAGGTACTTTCATCATTCCCCGCCCCCCTCCAAAAAAAATATCCGGTAGAAAACGGGACCCCAATATCAAGGAGACATTCAGCCTTGCCTGAAGTCACCCCCTACAAAAATGATACCAAAAGGAACTCAGTGAGAGAAGCAATTGTCTCTTCAGATGAGAATAAGAGGCTTCCTATTAGCGAATATCAAGTCAGTCCACATCCCTATTCTAGCTGGATCCTGAAACCTGATGTTATATGAACACAGCTGCATCAGAAACACCCTTGAAAACTGTGGCCATAATGACTGACCACAAAGTCCATACATCTCAATCTGGCATACGTTCACAGACCAGCAGCATCTGTCCTGACCAACCTCACCTGCTGCCTCCCACGCTGCCTGCCTCTGCTACACACACACACACACACACACCGCAAATATACATCTAGATCTATAGACTAGGTCTATATATACATCTAGATCTATAGACTAGGTCTATATATAAGTATACACATGCTGAAAAATAATGAAAAATGGAAACTGTCTCTATTGATAGTTTACATTGTCTATACCGTCAATTCTCCCACCTTGTTGCAACTCCTGAATCTTAAGTGTAGTCAGCTCAACCATCATGACAAATTTTAGGACACCCTAATTTTCATTCTTCTCTAATGGAGAAAAAGTATGGGTAATTGAAAAGGTTTGTGTTAATACAGAGGGGAGTCTTTTCTCCCCAAACCCAGATCGTGGTCTCTCCATCTAGTTTCAATGCACAAGAAAATGCTCTAAAACGGCTTTTCAGTGTCAAAAACCTAGCAGCAGCCTACCCATCCCCCTTCTCTGGCTCTCAGATACATTAGGTCATCAGTTCTGATTGGCTGATACCCACGGATAGGCTTCCTGATAGGGTAATGATTCTCTTTGTTCGTAGGAAACTGATGCAAGTTCCTTACACAATACTTACTTCTTTTTCGTTCACTTTCCTTAAGTGGGCCCTACTCACCTAGCAAACAGGCGCGACTAATTGGATACAAGTCTTAAATTCGCGTCTCTCCGGCTATGCTACCATGCGGTCCGACAGCTCTTTCTTTGAGTGGTTGGGCGGCCCTGAAAAGGGCCTTTGATGGAGTAACGTCAGCGACGGTGAAAACCAGGCATCTTAGCCGCCGAAGCCGTAGAGGGTGCGGCCCTGGCGCTTGAGCGCGTAGACCACGTCCATGGCCGTGACCGTCTTGCGCTTGGCGTGCTCCGTGTAGGTGACGGCGTCGCGGATCACGTTCTCCAGGAACACCTTGAGCACGCCGCGGGTCTCCTCGTAGATGAGCCCGGAGATGCGCTTGACGCCGCCACGGCGGGCCAGGCGGCGGATGGCGGGCTTGGTGATGCCCTGGATGTTGTCGCGCAGGACTTTGCGGTGGCGCTTGGCGCCGCCTTTGCCCAGGCCCTTTCCGCCCTTGCCCCTGCCAGACATGGTTACGGAAGATCAAACCCAACACCAAGTGAGGAAGCCACGCAGAGCCGACCCTTATATACCTACCTCGCCCCTCCTCTCCGCCCCTAGCAAATGTAAAGAATGGAAAGCGCGCCGGCGGGAAACGTGACGTCTACAGTCCCCGCCCCTAAGCCCTCCTCCTAGTCCCCGGGAAGCGGCAGGCGCCAAGGCAGCTCTACCACTGGTCTTTGCTTTCTTTATTCTTTCCGGAACTAATTTAGCATTTAAATGTAAATTCATTTACTGCAAAAACATTTTAAGTGAGAAATTCTAAATGTCTTTATGTGGTGAAAAAAATGGGGCTTGTGGGTCTGGAGTCTGTCCATATATATATTTTTTTTTCTTATGGGAGGAAAGGTTTATTTAGATGGCTCATAGTTTCAGAGGTCTCAGTCCTTAGACAGCCAGCTGCATTCCTTGGGGCTTAAGATGAGGCAGAAGAGTGTGGTGAAGGCAAGTGGCTCGCATGATATATCCCAAAGCCCATCTCTTCTGGCCACTCCCTACTGACCTTCAGTTGCCACGCAGTTAATCCCATCAGGGAATTAACCCACTAATTCGCCTTGTTTCTATCAGTCTTCCTCATGGTGATTTATTTGAGCTAAACAACAAATTTCTTTTTAAATTTAGGATTGGGATGCGATTCCTGTGGTGCTTAAACTCGGTCGTTCTAGCCTTTGAAGTGTATTACTGATGTTCCTCGAACACCCCATGGCATGTAAGAACAAGTGGTGAAGTGCAATGTCATTAAGTGATTGGCCTTCTTAAGTGTTTTCACAGCTGCCTTATTTGAGAATGTGGGTGGCTCTGAAAAGAGCCTTTGGCAAAAATGAAACTGGAAACCTAACTACGCCCTTTCCCCGCGGATGCGGCGGGCCAGCTGGATGTCCTTGGGCATGATGGTGACGCGCTTGGCGTGGATGGCGCACAGGTTGGTGTCCTCGAACAGACCCACCAGGTAGGCCTCGCAGGCCTCCTGCAGCGCCATGACGGCCGAGCTCTGGAAGCGCAGGTCGGTCTTGAAGTCCTGCGCGATCTCGCGCACCAGGCGCTGGAACGGCAGCTTGCGGATCAGCAGCTCGGTGGACTTCTGGTAGCGGCGGATCTCGCGCAGCGCCACGGTGCCGGGCCGGTAGCGGTGAGGCTTCTTGACGCCGCCGGTGGCCGGGGCGCTCTTGCGAGCGGCCTTGGTGGCCAGCTGCTTGCGCGGGGCCTTGCCGCCAGTGGACTTACGGGCCGTTTGCTTAGTACGAGCCATTTCAGTAAAACTGAAGCTACCCAACAGCAAGGGAAATGTCGGTCAGCTGCATTACTAATATTTATAGTATGTAAAGTGCAGCGATTGGATGATTAAAAATGTTTTGCTCTACGTAGCAGGCTCTGATTGGTTTATTGTGAAATTGTCCAAAAAATGCAGTTTCATTGGCTACTCGGTTATACCCTCTGTTCTTTTCAGTTTTTTTTTTCTTTTTTTAACTTTCTTCGTCTTTCATATCTGATCCTTATAATCTCAAAGCGTACTTTTATCTATTTATAAATTAGACCCTGATTTTCATGCTACAGTAGTTCTCCAATCTGTTTAACCCTCAGTTCCCGGGGAGTGTTACGATTAAGTGAACATTGCTAACCCGCTCCCCGGAAACGTTCTTGACGTATCATGCCGAGTACCCGATTCATGGTTAGTGTCTGAAAAAGCGACTCCTTTAGTAATGTTTTAGTTGACTAACGACCTTCGTTGAAACCTGCAAAAGCATAATCTCGTAAAGTAAATAATATTATTTCTCCCAAACGAGTCTGTAATAGGAGTCCTTTTTGTCAGGTGATCAATGTTTTCCTGAATTCTATACTTAGCGCTTTGCCAGGTGAGAAATGGCGGTGGCTGCCACTCCAGCGCTGCCGCCACGTACAGTAGCGCGCCAGCCCACCCAGCTTGAAGTCGTGGCCCCTCGTGAAGCAGGCGGTGGACCTCGACTAAGAGAAACTGGAGTCCACACTGCAAAGAGCATAATTTAACCTTGCAAATTGTGCCTCAAACATTAAAATGTTGGATATTGTTTTAACAGAAGCTTCTATCTTTTCATTGGTTTATTCTATTTTTTTCTGGTAGCCATTTAGAAAGCACATCTAGCATCCTTCATTTGTGTGGAGGGGTGCCACTTAATCTGAAGCCGCACTTTTTAACACAGTGGAAACAAAGACAAACCATTATTTGAATGAGAAAGCAGTGTAGAAACCAATTATGCCTCTGAGAATTTGTAGTCTTTCCGTTTTAAAAGCTTCATTTTATTACATGCTTTGTTTATTACACTAAGAAAGGTTTATGTTTTTCAAAGTTTCCTTAACAAAAAAAAAATTGTCTTTCTTGTGAACGTGCACTTTGTAATTTACTATCCCTTTCAAAGTAAGATACTTACTTCCGTTTCCAGTTGATCTTCCAAATTCTTAGAAATCACTTAATGTATTTGGAAACAGCTTCTTAATAAAATTCGAGGCAGTAAAGAAGATGGGCACAATAGGAGTCTGGGACGATTACATTATCTCGTGCTCTAAAAGATAGTAGGGAAATCTCAGGGGTCATAGGCCAGTGCGGACTTGTTTGAAAACTGCAAGGATGCACGCGGGAATGAGAAGTCACTGCCTTGTTCCCCGGAGTCCTTGGGCCATTACCCAGGGCAGTGTTGTAGAAAAGGATGACAGTTTAACAATATTTCATTCTTCCTTTAGTTTATAGCCATTAGTTCTTAATGTTAAATCGTTTTATCATGCAGTTGCTTTTGAAGTTAATGTACTGTCAAACACAAAGGGAAATTGCCTTGAAATCTTACGTCAGGGGCGTGCCCTCTTGTTTTCACACAAAGGGGACCTAACTTCTTGATACAATGCCTTTCAGGGAACCGCTTAGTCCTTCCAGGGTTTAATGATTGCCTCTCCTAGGCTCCTAGGCTTCTTCGAGAGCCCAAGTCTGCGTTGCTAGGGCGGATGGGCGGTTCTGGGCTGCCAGTGGATGGAGGTTGTAGACCTCGGGTTTGAGGATGAAAGGGCACCCAGAACCAGAGAAGCGCGCCGGACCGCAGGAGTAAGTTGCGATTGAAGAAACTGTTTTCAGACGGTTCCCCACACACGGAGTATGGTAACTGGGTTTAGTGAATTCTATAGTTTCCCACGACCTGTTCTTTGACCAAAATATGTGCAAGGTGTGCACCAGACAGCTTTTCTCCGTTGCTAAGAAACCAGACCGCACGGATGAAAACCGGTCCTAAACCTGAGGCAAGGCCTCGCCTTCCTCTAGCTCCCCCACCATCCAATACACGATCCTTTACATAGTTTAAAAAGTGAGAAGCGAGCATTAGGGACAGAGCACCTTCTAGCAGTTTCAAGGGACGCCCCTTGGATTTTTTTGATTGTCTCACTTAGAAAGGGCACCCCTCTCCCACAATAGGGGCTGCTTTTCGAGAGGGAGGTTACACCGTTTGGTGTTAGTAGACAGTACTGCCCAACCCTGCTCGGCCTACAGCGTCCATCGCACCAAGCCTCAGGGGCGGCTCTAAGGATGCTTTAGAGCGCACAGAGGGAAGTCCAGCGCCCCCGGACGGGCGAGGCCCTCCGCTGCGCGCGGCGCTAGGTGCGAGGGGCGGGCACCTGCGTGCACCAATCACGGCGCAGCCCCGCTCTATAAATACGCCGCGCGGGTCCGTGGCCGGCCTCCCGCTCCGCCAAGTCTAGCCAGTTCACTTCTTTAGTAGCAGTCGCCATGTCCGAGACGGCGCCGGCCGCCCAAGCCGCTACGGCGGCCGCCCCCGAGAAGCCTTCCGCTGGCAAGAAGGCAAGGAAGCCCGCCAAGACGGCGGCCGCCGCCAAGAAGAAGCCTGCAGGCCCCTCAGTGTCCGAGCTTATCGTCCAGGCGGTGTCCTCCTCCAAGGAGCGCAGCGGCGTGTCCCTGGCTGCGCTCAAGAAGGCGCTGGCGGCCGCCGGCTACGACGTGGAGAAGAACAACAGCCGCATCAAGCTGGGCCTCAAGAGCCTGGTGAGCAAGGGCACCCTGGTGCAGACCAAGGGCACCGGCGCCTCCGGCTCCTTCAAGCTCAACAAGAAGGCGGCCTCCGGGGAAGCCAAGCCCAGCACCACAAAATTGGCAGCTAAGGCCAAGTCCGCGGGTTCTTCAAAGAAGCCCAAAAAGCCCGCAGGGGCCGCGGTGAAGAAGAATGTCAAGACTCCGAAGAAGGCAAAAAAGCCTGCAATGGCGAAGAAGTCGTCTAAGAGCCCTAAGAAGCCTAAGGTCGTGAAGCCAAAGAAGGTAGCCAGAAGCCCTGCTAAGGCCAAGGCGGTGAAGCCCAAGGCGACCAAGGCGAAGGTGACCAAGCCAAAGACTGCTGCCAAGCCCAAGAAGGCAGCCCCCAAGAAAAAGTGAAAATCCTGGCTGGAAACTTTCCAGTGACCCAACGGCTCTTTTAAGAGCCACCTACGTGATTCAGGAAAAGAGCTTGATACAGTTTCCTTAGTTGACACCAATCTAACTTGTCACATTGGAAACATGAAGAGAAGTTTTGGAATTAAGCTGGTTGGGTTATGAGGGTTTTAGCATAATTGATTCGTGAAGCCCCTTATAGGGATTAGCTGTAGGCAGGGTGTGGCTGGAAGTGGGTGAGTATATGTTTGGGAGAAGGTCTTCACCCTCACGTTCAGTCTAGCCTTACCAAGGAGTGGAGCCCTCCGTCTATGGACTGAGCTCCAAAGAGACTTTCCAAGTTGTGTTTTTTTGTTCATCTGTTTTGGTCACAACAGTGAAAAAACACTCATTACCTGTGTTTTTATTTCCTGTGATGTACTTCCCATTTGTATGCAAAAGCTTGTATTGGGTATGTGGGGTTTTTTAAATATTGTTTTAATAATAAATTTGTCTTATGACTTAAAAGTTTCCAGTTTGGGTTAAGAAATTGTACACTACTACACTACTACTACATTTTCTTTATAAAGTTTCTTTTGTTGTTTGTTTTATCTTAAAAAAGATAAATTGTCTAATCCAGCTAGAATTTATATTGTGAACACAGAATCTGAGTAACATTCTCCCAGAAGGATGGGCAGCTGTTCCAAACCCATTTATTAAATACTTCATCCATTTTCCCAATAAACTGAAATAAAACATCTTATTTATAATTTATTATTTATATAATAGGATTTGTTGTTGTTGTTTTTTTCCTCCTGAACTCCATGTACTTGTCTTAATTTTATTCCTAATTCATTTATAGGTTTTTTTGTTGTTGTTTTAATGTGAATAAGAGTTCTTGCTTTCTTAGATCTCACTGCTGGGAGGGAAAAAGTGTGCTGATATCTTGTATCCAGCTCTTACCAATTTCTGAAATTCTACTTTTTTTCTTTTCTCTTCAAAATAAAACCCCTATGGATGTCTTATAGTTAATAACAAAATAAATCTATCCATTTTGTTTTCCTCAACATGAACATCATGAAATTTATTTTTTACAACCTTTGCTACAAATCTCCAAAGTAAAGCAGAATAATAATTTTTGAAGGCATTTTAAATTTTTAGTTCTTGGTTTTAATTAACATAATATTAGTTAACATGATATTAAGTGTCCTTTAAGATGATATTTATTAATGCCAGGCACAGTGGCACACACTTGTAATCCCAGCTGGTCGGGAGGCTGAGGCAGGAGGATTGCAAGTTCCAAGACAGCCTCAGCAATGGCAAAGTGCTAAGGAACTCAGTAAAACCCTGTCTCTAAGTAAAATACAAAGTAGGGCTGGGGATATGGCTCAGTGGTTGAATGCCCCTGAGTTCCATCCCCGGTACCCACCTCCCCCCCCAAAAAAAAGATGACATTTAATATCAATTTTTGGTATCTGCATTATCTTTGCTTTCCTTCCAGTCTTATTTTACTTTAAAACAATAATGAATGGTTGCTACATTTTCTTTATGGGTTGGTAGGATTTCAATTTGTTTAATGCTTTCATAAATGCTAGGCCCTCAAACTTGATGTGGCTGAAAGTCTTAACTAGAAGAGTGAGATGTTTTTCTCTCTATAAGAGAAAATTAAGTGTGCACTGGTGGAGGTGGGAAAGGGAATATCAGAAACTATGCAGTTTGTGAGATTTCCGAGTAGAACAGGGGGTAATCAACTGCATCCACTGCTGTGGACGGAAGTGTGGATGGATGCCCAAGAATAATTTCTTGGATTAGCAGCATGGAATCACTGGTGGTCTTGAGGAGAGAAGTTCTGGGGGAGGATGGACTTCATTTGAGTCATAAATCTGAGAGTCTTTGGTATGTGGATGGTATTTAAAGCCCTGGGATTTGGTGAGGCCTCCAAGGGGTAGCTAAAGTAGAGAAGAGTTTAGAGAAAGGGGGAAGATCTGATTCCAAAAGCATCCATATCAGGGATGCAGGGGAACTGGCCCTGGACATTTTTCATGAATAAATCCAAATAAAAAATTATATTTATATTGTATTCTTATTTGAAAGTTAAGGGATTGGATTCAAGCAGCGTTTTTCAAACTACAGATCTCAGCCTGTTTGGAATGTATTGAAACAGAACACACTAAAGAAAGCACGTCCTGGAAATGAGGTGTTTTTGTCTCTGCCTATGAAGTCCTTTCAAGAGAAAAAGAAAAGCACAGGAGTTCTGTGATTTCCAGGACTGAAAATAAGCAGGGCCTCCTTAAAGAGGCAAAGAGGACAAATAACGATTTTTTTGAAATTGACAATGGTCACACATAAACAGGAGAGAGAGCTGAAGGGGGAGATGCACAGGACTCTCATCTTAATCATAGGTTTTATTGTGTCCAGTGTGGCCAAAGTACGAAAGGAAAATATTTTGGGTGGGGATGAATTTATTCTTTTCTTTACACTGTAATATATTCTTCAGTTATGTGACAATGTGCACATGTAAATTTAAATTAGAAAAAAAAGATGTTAATCTGCACATTAAAGTAGAGCTGTATTAAAGCACAAATGTTAGTCATTAATCAGCTGTTTAGCAAATGGTGGTCTACTGACTTCCCATGATACTCCGTTGGTGTATGTCCCGTGGTTTAACCAGTGCCCTATGGATTTAAATATACACATACATTTAACAAAAATTACATGATCATTTTCAAATCTGCCTCAGAATATGTTCCCAAAAGTAGGACTTCTTTTTTTTCTATATCAAAGGGTAAAAAGTAACATTGCAAATTTCATTTTGTAGTAAAATAATACTAATGCAATTTTTAAAACAAATACTAATAGTTAAGGACAAAATGTTATCAGACCTCAACTAGCATTGACCACATCTTTTTAATTTCACTTTATTTTTAAACAATATATTGTTTCAAAAATCCAAACTACGTGAACAGATATACGCTGAAAAGTTCAGTTCCAAACTCCCATCCTGTCCACACAGTCTGTCCCTTCCAGTGTTTCTTTATAGAAACAGAAACATGGGAACTCTTTCCCTCCCCACCCTGTAGTAGGTCAAGCAGGCGCGTCCACCACTGTCCACTGGGCAGTCTGGCTGGAGCTGGGGGCAGAAGGAAACAGAGGCCGTATTCAGTTCTTTGCACAGGTACATGATATACATTGTGTAAGGAATAATAGTTCTGCTTCCAAAATATCTGTATATGAGTTGAAAAATACACTTTTGCCAGACAGTCTTTTAACTTTGTGATAAATTCTGCTTGCCATCTTTTTATTTTTATGCAATTAAATTTTGAGTGAGTTATACACAGGTCTTTGTCACTATAAGAAACAAAAGGATTTACCCCATTTGAAAAAACTATTTCTGAGTGTCTTGTTTTTATATTTAAATCTTTCATCTATTTAGAATTTATCCTGGTAAGCTGCATTTTATAGATGGCTCTCTGTGTGTCCTAACACTACTTGGAACTCCATCTTTCCTTCCCATGATGAAATGTTCCTTTACTGTCTATTTCTGGACTTCTCTTTTGCATCGATCTTTCTGCCTGTTCAAGCACCAAGCAGCACACTATTTTAATTGAGGATTGATGACCTTTATAAAACATGGTAAAGAATGTCCACCCTTACTGGTCTTATGTCCCGACAGGCAGGACACATCAAGGAGGGCCGTGAACCTAGATGGGGAGGAATGAAGGGACAAGAGACACAGAAGGATGACAGCAAGACAGGAGTTCTGATCAAGCTGCAAATTTTTATTGTTCACACAGGGGTATTTATATGCTGGGGATAGGGAAGCTCTCTAATCAGCAATTGCTGGATGTGGGTGGTAAAACTGCCAGCTGATGATCCTGATAACTGCAGGATGTTCCAGGGAGATAGGTAGCTGCAGGATGTCTCCCAGGGAGCTGTCAGGCTATTCTTTGAAGGAGAATTTCCTTCTAGCCCCTGACAGTCTTATTCTTCAGTTTTAGACAAATTGTAGATTCTAGCTTTTCAAATAATTGAGGGACATTTGGAGCCGGGGTCACTAGGCTTTTATTTTTGCTGGGGAAAGTTCTGTAGAGATTCTGTCCTGCTCTCCCAGCACCACTCCAGAATCCCCCCAGGAGTTTTAAAGGGCAACATTAGCTTATGTGCAGATATTTCCCCTCAAATCTGTGCTGATCACAGTCAATCTAAGAGTAAAAAAGAAGCTAGAAAGAGTTTTATTGCCTAAGAATCAGTAGGTGCCCTCTGTGAACTAATTTATCACTCCTTCTTCCAAACTCTCTGGAAAGCACGCTGTGACTGGAGAACTCTAAACTTGGAGGAATCTGGAAAGGCCTCCTGCTGAGTAGGAGGAGGCTACAGTTTGGCACCTTCCAGTCCTGGTGTTCACTGGACAGAAAGGTGTTCACTTACCTGCTGGTTCTTCAGAGAGAGCGCAAGACCCAAGTGCATGAGCCTAGACCCTGCCTGTGTGGGGTGCAGCAGTGTTCTGGTCTAAAATAAGGCTTGGGGCATGTTGGAGATGACACATAAATTTGTGTTTCACAACAGGGAGAAAGGGTGGCATGAGAAATAGCATCAGGCAACTCCCAAAATATCTAGTGGGTTGATTTTATCCTTTGATTTATAAAAACACATATTATACTATATGATTCTTAATTGTGCAATAACTTATTATTTCAATATTGATAGAAGAAAAAAATGAGTTAAGCAACACATAAACCTACCTATAAAGCAAATTGGAGGTTTAAAATTTATTCTGGATGTTTTAAACTCTTCTCATTGAAAAGCAATTGGTCTTCGTAGAAATCAATATTCATTAAACTTCTATAGGGGAGCATCACATGTAAACAAAATCCTAACAAAACAGGAATGGAAAGCTCAGTGCATGGACACAGAGTGACCCCACTGTAATCACCACACCAGTCACCCTGCAGCCAAAGGCCCAGAGCCTCCCTCTTTTTCCACAGCACAACTACTGTCCTGGTTTCTAGCACGAGAGTACAACTGTTTTTGAAATATGTGTAAAATGGAAATAGTATAGAATCTTTTGAGAACATCTAGTCTTTCAGAAACTCAGGTTTGAACAACTTCATGTGCTGCTGTGTATCTGTGATTAAAATTCGTTTTTCTTGTTCTACAATGTTTCATTTTATGAATGTATCACAATTTAGATATCTATTCCACTCTTGATGGACATCAAGCTGTTGCTTTCCAGCTATTACAAATAATGCTGTGGATATTCCTGTGCATGGGTCTTGGTTATCTGTGTGCACATGTCTGTTTGTATATCTAGGAACAGAATTGTTGGACCAACTATGAAACTGT